CTTCTGCGGGCGCCACCCCGGCCGCGCGGCTGGAGGCAGAGGGCGGCCGGGCCGGGACGCGTTGTGTCGTTGGCACTCGCGGCAGGAGGGGGCGCTGTCGAGCCACCGCCCCGCGAAGCAATAAAGGCAAGCTGTTTGGACGTGGTGGGGGCTGGGACTGTTCTCAGCCCGGTGTCTGTTTGCTCTGGCCCGCCTACACGGTCGGACCGAGCTTGCCGTGTTCACGCACCTTCCACAGTTGCCGTTTCAGGGTCCCCCGCGCCCAGCCCTTCAGACAAGGCAAAAAACTAATGTGATTTTCTTACCGCCCCTCTCGGACACTGTCGTCTCACTGTCCGAGCTAAGCACACAACGAAGTCCTCTGCCTTACAGTTAGGGGCCACAGTGCTCACCCTCTCAAAATCAGCCAACTGCTGGGCGTGGCGGCACACGCCTGTCATCCCAGCACTCGGGAGGCTGAGGCAGGAGGATCCTTGCGAGTTCGAGACCAGCCTGGGCTACGAAGTGAGCTCAAGGCCAGCCTGAACTGCACAGCGAGACCCTGCCTCAAAAAGACAAAAAAATCAGGCAACTGCCAGGATGTGGCTCTGCAGCTGCTGCCTGTCTGGCAAGTGTGAGGCCCTGAGTTCGATTTCTGCTACCATTAAAAAATAAAATCAGCCAACCTAAGCCCAGTGTGGTGGCCCATGCTTGTGATCCCAGCGCTCAAGAGGTTGAGGCAGGATCACTGAGAGTTAGGGCTAGCATGGGCTTTCTATCGAGACCCTAAAAGGACCACAAAAACCAAAAAATAAGGTGCTGCACACCTGTAAGCGGGAGGGTTGAGTTTGAGGCCAGCCTGGACTGCAGCGAACCCCCTCGAGGAGAGGTACGCGCGCACACAGTGTGCTCAGTATCGAGTGTGCAGTTGTATCGCTCACCTGTCTGTTGCTGGGACAGAGCACTGGACGCACGACTAAGATGATTCTGGCTCGGGCCCAGAGGTTCAGCCCACACGGTGTCTCCAGGTCAGAACTGGCGGGGCAGGCGGGAACCCACAGCACCTCGCCCTGACCAGCCCTGCCGGTTACTCCCCCGACGCCAGTGCTGGTGCTCCAGTCCTTCCCAGGCCCCTCAAGTAGGAGAGCACTTGGGGTGGTTCCAAGCCGTGACCTTCCCCGCGGCCCCACGGCTCCTCCACTCCCTCACGCTGAGGCCCCAGCGCCAACAGTGCAGCCTTGCTCAGCCTCCGAGGCGTCTCCAAGACTCAAGGCAACTCAGCTGTGAATCCGTTTAAAAAAGTCCCAGGATAGCCGGGAATGGTGGCGCAGGCCTGTAATCCCAGCACTTGGGAGGCTGAGGCAGGAGGATCATTGCGAGTTCGAGGCCAGCCTGGACTACAAAGTGAGCTCAAGGCCAGCTTGAACTGCATAGCAAGACCCTGTCTCAAAAAAGACAAAAAAATTCCCAAGACAAAGTGGCGCAGGGTAAACAGCCCCATTCCTGGAGGAAAGAAGGCAGAAAAGAATTAGACCAAAACAAGAGCAGAACTCATCAGGGCTCATATTAAATCCGGAGCTCTGCACACCCACAGCGAGCTGTGAGCTGCGGAGCCGGCCCGGCCCCGGCCCCGCCCCCCGCCCCTGCGTTGGCCGCTAGTGCCCGGCGGCTTCCTTGGCAGAGCTCCCGCGTGGGAACTGTCAGAGCCAGGCTCTGCAGGGGTTAAGCTGCGGACCGCAAGGGCCCCTGGCTCTGCTGGGAAAGCTGCTATTCACAGTGCTCTGAAGTCAACACCTAGGCCGGGAAAATAGCTTAGCGGCCTAAGCGCCTGCCTGGCAAGCACAAGGTCCTCAGTTCGATTCCCGGTGCCAAAAAAGAAAACAAAGTCAACACCACAGCTGAGGCAGCCGAGGACACCCCTTGGCTACTGACAACCCTTAGATGAAACAGGTCGCTTAACTGGTAAAATTTACTGCTTGGAGAAGTCTCTGACTCTCAAGGTCCTGCCCAGTTCCTGCTTTACCTCAGTATCCCCTTTGTTTGAAAACCAATGGCAAGTGCGAGGTCATGAGTTCGGTTCCTGGTACCACAAAAATAAATACATAAATATAACATTATCTTACTAATTGTGTTGCCGGGCGTGGTGGCACACGCCTGTAATCCCAGCACTCGGGAAGCTGAGGCAGGTGGATCGTTGTGAGTCTGAGGCCAGCCTGGGCTGCAAAGTGAGCTCAAGACCAGCCTGCACTGCGTAGGGAGACCCTGTCTCAAAAAGACAAAAGAAAGTAAAGAGTGAAATCACAAGGGACCCTACAGAAACCCAGAAGAGTGTCTACACTGTCGTGGTTTGGGGTTTTGCAAGGGAAACAATATAATACAGAACACATATTTTATAAGATTATTTATAATAGTCACTCAAAGACCAATATACAAGAGAGTGAAGGAAATCTGTCCGCACACTAAACACCAGAGAATCCAGCCGAGGGCCTGGATCCCATGGAAATGTCCACATGAGTCCAGCTGAAGACCTAGAGCCCATAACAGTGCCTCCCAGGAATCCAACTCGAAGCTCAGAGCCCATAACAATGTCTCATGCAAGCCTATTTCACGGATCTGCTGCGAAGGCCCAAAGGTCAGTGGTGGAATCTAGACAGTCTGTGCCAGTGGGATGAAGGATCTGTGCCAGCAGGCTGAGGGATCTGCACTGGAGCCAGGAAGGGATGCTCAGAAGAACCAGAAATCCCCGGAAAGGTTCCACAGCCATCCTCAGCACCAGTGAGGTCCCAAGCTCCTCCAATGATCAGGACGGGCGAGTTCCCATCAGGAAACCCAACGTAACAAGCTTCTCCAGGAGACCGGCAGTGCACCATCTTCCCGTCCACAGCCAGGAAGTGATTCTCAGAGTGAGGACCAGAGCTCCCCCAAAGTGAACCCCAGCCATCCTCAGTGACAGTGAGGTCCCGAACTCCTCAATAGTGAGAACAGCCAAGCTCATCAGGAAAGCCAGCACGACGAGCTGATTGATCATGGTTTTAAAATGAACCCCACTAGCCGGGTGTGGTGGTGCATGCCTATAACGCATGCCTATAATCCCAGCACTTGGGAGGCTGAGGCAGGAGGATCCTTGCGAGTTTGAGACCAGCCTGGGGTACAAAGTGAGTACAAGGCCAGCCTGACCTGTATAGTGAGACCCTGTCTCAAAAAGACCAAAAAAAGAAAAACCCAGGCCCTGACAGATTCACTGTTGAATTCTACAAGAAATTTAGAGAAGACCTAATGCTACTACTTCTCAAACTCTAATGACATTGAGAGGGAAGCAATACTCCAAAATCAATTCTTGGAATCAAGCTTGTGGACTCCTACACAGCGAGCCCTTCCAGGTTTTTGTCGTGGCCCAAGAAGTTATATCTGTAAGCCCATGGAAAAGTTATTGGAATTCTAGTGAGTTAATTCCAATCTGCCACTCCAGTGCTATCTTTAGCAAGAATAAAGACACTAAGGCATATTTGTAGTTATGGGGAGCCCAGGGTCCTAAGTCCAGCTACAGTGATAGCCAACTGGAACAAAGGCCTCTACCCAGGGCCAAACCTCGGTTTTATTCATTCATGAAGAAGGGAGTGGCCTGAGGATGACTGACTGTGAGAATCTTGAGAAGTAGGTGAGCGCTGTGAGCTGAGCTAGGTAGGAGGCCTGAAATCCCATCTGCAATATGCAGAGAGAAGGATGTGCAGAAAGAACAATCTGCATAACACACTGAGATAGTACGTGACATTTTGGGGTTGGTGCTTCAGCTCTGATGTATAATCTTCTATGCCCTGGGAAGTCGTAGCTTTTTGTTGTTGTTGTTGTTGTTGAGACAGGGTCTCCCTGTGCAGTTCAGGCTGGTCTTGAGCTCACTTTGTAGCCCAGGCTGGCCACAAACTCGCAATGACCCTCCTGCCTCAGCCTCCCGAGTGCTAGGATTACAGGCGTGCGCCACCACCCGGCTAGTCATAGCCTCTCATCTTGAGGCTCCATCCCAGCTGCCAGCGTGGAGCATGCTGCCTTGTCCCAGCTCACACGTTTTATCTGTGTGAGCTACGGGAGGCAGGGAAACACGCCTGTTGTCATCAATGACTACCATCAGCACCTTGGCTGGACCTATTTGCACTGCTCAGAGCCAACTGAGGGGATAAGGAAAAGTCCTGGCCAGCTCTGCGCACATCAATACATGGAAACAGGGCCAGGTTCAGCTTAAATGGAGACAACTGCTCCTCCTTCAGGGAGTCACCTGGGTGGTCCTTCACACTTCTAGCACCGTTGTCATACTGGCACCAACTGTAGCAGCTTCCTTCATTCTTCACCTGAGATTTCAGTACATAAATGAATGTGTAGGCTGGGCGTGGTGGTGCACATCTGTAATCTCAGCACTTAGGTGGCTGACGCAGGAGGATTGCTGCGAGTTCAAGGCCAGCCTGAACTGCATAGTGAGACCCTGTTTAAAAAAAAAAAAATGCTGGGCCGGGCATGGTGGCACATGCCTGTAATCCCAGCACTCAGGAGGCTGAGGCAGGAGAATCATTGTGAGTTTGAGACCAGCCTGGGCTACAAAGTGAGCTCAATCCAGCCTGAACTGCATTGGGAGACCCTGTCTCAAAAAGACAAAATAAAGTACTTAAATAAAATGACAATTTTCATTGAAAAGAGCAGTTAATGCTTATTTTTTATATCAATTTTGCATTCTTATATCTGGTAATCTGAACAGCCACTTTGAATATAACAATATGTAATATAACAACATTGTTAATTTCCTATCATCTTGTTTTGAAATTCTGTATTGTTTTTAATGTTTTTAAATTTTTATTGTCTTTAAAATAAAATAAGTAAAAAACAAAAGAAAATTTGCATATTTAAACTAACAAAAAAGGGGAGCACCAGTCTTCCGATTGGCTCGCTTCCTACCTGGTAGGAGCCCCGGAAGGAAGGCCCCCAAAGCAGGGGGAGCCACGCGGCAGTGAGCGCTGTTGCACACCGGCCTTTAGGCCAGCCGCTGCTGCTTGAGAACTACCATGACACAGAGAAACAGTGACACAATTGGCCCACCATGCACTGGCTGCAGATGCCCACCCACGGACGTGTGTGAATCATTCAAACATGGAGAAACCCCTGGGAATACATGCCATACA